TCCTGTGAAGGAAACTTTTCTATAAGTTCTATAATGATCTTGTGAATAGTATCTTTATACCATATTTTTGTGCTGAACGTGTTACTTGGTCAAATGCAAACTTGCATGTTTTTCTTCAATTTTAGGTGGATTTGGAGCTTCATCAGATAGGAGGGCTATGGACCTTTCCATCTTTCAGAGGACCTGTCTCCCAGAGGGAGCAGATATGGAGGCCAGTGGGCCTAGGGATTTCTCACCCTGTCTCAAGCCTCCGCAGAGTCTGAGTGGGAACAGCTGCCTCTTCGAACTCAGGGCAAAGGTCTAAACTCTGCTTCCTGCCAGTGGCCAGGCCTACAGCTCCCACCTGGTGCTCGCCCCAGGTGACAGTGCATGTAACTCCAGGGCCAACTTCTCTCTGTCCCTCTGCAGTAAGTCAACTACAGAGCAGGTACAGGGCAGCCTTGGCGTGGCCAGCTAGTTCTCAACCCTGAGGGGGTGGGGGTAGGATTTGGGAACATGATCCTGGTGCTGCCCTCTAAGGAACCTCCAGACTGCAAGGAAAAGTACCTCAAGCAGAGTGATGAAGCCCCCAGGGGTGCCTGTGCTGGGGTTCCACCCATTGTTTGCTCTGGAGGCAGCTCCTAGGTACCCTGATTCTGGGAGAGGTGTGCACAGGGCAGGCGCCAGAGGTCCCCGAGGGCAGGGCCTCTGGGCTTCCCATTCTTTCACGGTTCCCACAGCGCCCAGGCCCCACTTGCTCACAATGAGCTTCAATGCTAGCTTTTGACTGAACCTTTCCCCTTTGTATCTGTCTCTGTGTCTCTCAGCATCTCTGTCTCTACGGGGTCTCTGGCTCTCTCTTGTTTCCCAACATCCTTCCTGAGCCCCTGGGGAGCAGAGCTGGGGGGCCGGGCAGTGGGAACGGGACAGCGTCCTGTTCTCACCAAGGACAATAAGGGCCGGAAAGGGCTGGAGCCAAGGCCTGGCGCAGACTCCCCCTCCCTGCCTGCCCTGGGCTCCCCTAGCCCCCGCCCTGACCCGCTGGCATGCCCTAAATGCCAGTCGTCACTCATGCTAGTGTGAGTCCCAGGGAGTCCGGCCTCTGCCTGGGTTGGGAGCCTGCTTGCACTTGGCCTCACCTTCCCACTGTCCTCTTCTCCCACGGCATCACCTTCTGCCCCAGGAGCCTGTAGAGCACCCACTGGCCAGTCTCCATACCCGCCAGCCTCTACACTGGCGCCCACAGCTCCCTCCCCTGTATTATTTACTCCTGCTTCCGGGACTGGCGCGGCTGCCACGTGTGCGGGAGCAGGAGGAAACATCTGGCTTTCCTCTGTCCTCCAGGGACCCGGCTGCCTCTCTCCCTCAGGCCGGCAGCCTCCTGGGTGGAGCAGAGTCCCAGCCATCCAGGGGCCAAGAGGTTAACACCTCTGCCCTTTGCACCCTCAGGGCTCTGGAAACCTTGAAGTTCTTACGCCCCCTTACTTAATGATGGTGAGTAGGTGCTGTGATACCCCTGCCAGGGTTAATTGGCAGGTCAGATGTGGCAGCCTGCAACCAGGCACCAGAGATAGGTGGGGTGGGGAGCAGTGGAGGTCGGCGCCAACCTGCCTTGTAAATGCACCCATTCATAGAGGAAGGGGTCATTATTCCTGGGCCACATGCTGCCTGGGGTGCCTACACAGTGGGTGGCAGCAGATGCCCAGATCCCTTGGCACTGCCCTGGTACCTGCTTTCTGGTTCCTCCCCACCCTCCCCTAGCCACAGAGGTGGTGCTCGCTGGCAGGTCCTACCCAAGCCAGCAGCTGTCATGAAAGGCATGGTGACCTCAGGTGGCCGGATCCCTAGGGCCCCTGGATTGTGTGTGTTCCCCTGGACTGGGATCTGGCCCTCTGCCCACTACTCCCACATCATTATTGTTGTTGTTGAATTCTCACTCTGTTGCCCAGCTGGAGTGGCATGCTCACAGCTACTGCTGCCTCGACTTGCTGGACTCCTTCTTCCTCAGTCTCCCAAGTAGCTGGAACTACAGGTGCACACCACCATGCCCAGCTAATTTTTTGATTCGTTGTAGAGATGAGGTCTCGCCAAGTTGCCCAGGCTGGTCTTGAACCCCTGGGCTCAGGCAATCCTCTTGCCTCTGCTTCTCAAAGTACTGAGATTACAACATGTGTGAGCCACCATGCCCAGCCTGCTCTCACCTTAGATTAGGAGAAAGTCGAGGTTTGCCAATGAGTCCCAGAACCAGCCCAGCCTCCCTGTAGGTCCAAGGCCCATTTTGGATAACCTCACCTCCTCTCGCAGAGGGTTCCACGTATCACAACCCCCCTTAGGACCTCCCCACAACCATCACTAGGTGAGTTAGAGCCTAGAACTGCTATCCTCTCAGGGAGGCCTTTATTGACCTTTCTGCCTCCACTTCCAGCCTATGGAAGAAGAGGTTTGATTCACACTTCAGTCCTCCCGACTGGACCAGTCTTTCGGGCTGTCCAAGAAGTTGGCTTGAGAGACCCAGCAGCAACCCTCCTCCCCAGCCCTCAGGGCTGACTTGTACGGTAGGCCCAGGTAGGGTGTTGGTCTCTAGGAGGAAGCCGTGAGCTCGTGGTGCCCTCTGCAGGCATCTTGGATAAAATGCCTAGCTTCCATCTTTGGTTATAGAAGGGCAAGGGTCTGGTGTTGGCCACCAAAGAGGGGAGTGGGGCGGGGTGGCCTCTGATTCTTTATCAGAAGTCTGAGAGGCTGGCAGTCCTCACTTCTTCATTCTCACTGGGCTTTCTGCCCTAACGCAGGCACCTCCTGTGCACAAGATTTTGTTCTGGAAGGGCAGGTTCTTTCATTCAATCCACCCACTGGTCTTTACTGTCCATTATCAGGCACTGAGAAAAATACACAGTTGGCCAAGATGTGATGTGCACCCTAAGGCCCACTCCATCCCAAGGCATCAAAACAGAGAGACTGGCTGAGCAACCTGAAGTCTTTTTTTTTTTTTTTGGTCAGGGTATCTTCTGTGCCCAGGCTAGAGTACAATACAGTGGCACAATCATGGCTCACCACAGCCTCAAACTCCCAGTCTCAAGCAATCCTCCCACCTCAACCTCCATACTGGGACTACATGCGTGTGCCACCACACCCAGCTAATTTTTTGTAGAGACAATGTCTTACTACATTGCCTAGGCTGGTCTCAAACTCCTTGGGTCAAACAATCCTCCTGCCTCAGCCTCCCATAGTGCTGGCATTACAGGCGTGAGCCACTGCACCCGGCCAACCTGCGTAGTCTTCCTAAACACAGGTGTGCATTCATGCTGGAGAAGAGATGGGTCCTGGAGGCACCAGTAGGGAACTCTCACCTAAGAATTTGCAGCAGAAGGGGCAGGGGGCTGAGTGACAAAGTCCCCAGGCGGAGCCCCATGGTACAGTGCAGGGTGAAGGGCCTTTCCCTCCCTTACTCTTCTGCCTCTTCACGCACTACAGCCTTCAGCACCCTTTCCCAAAGGTCAAGACTGAAGATTATTTATGTTGTTTTCTTCCATGATGAGACTCACACAAGTATATGCCACTCAAATGCCTGGCACTCATGGTACTCAATAACTGTTAGGTAAAAATGAACCTTGGAGGAAGGAAAGCCTCATCCTTCCCAAGGTCTGACAAAACAACTTGTCTTTTTTTGTTGTTGTTATTGCGGGGGTCGCCCAGGCTGGAGCACAGTGGCATGATCACAACTCACCGCAGCTAGGGCCAGGCTCGGTGGCTCAGCCTGTAATCTCAGCGCTTTGGGAGGCCGAGGTGAGTGGAGTGCCTGAGCCCACAGGTTCAAGACCCACCTGGGCAACTTGACGAGACCTCATCTCTCCAATAAATCAAAAATTAGCCGGGCATGGTCGCACACGCCTGTAGTTCCAACTACTTGGAAGACTGAGGTGGAAGGATTGTCAGAGCCCCGCAGGTTGAGGCTGCGGTGGCTGGGAGCGTGCCACTGCACTCCAGGCTGGGCGACGGAGTGAGACTCCAACTCAAAAAACAAACAAACAACTCACCGCAGCCTCAACCTCCTGGGCTGTCGATCCTTCCACTTCAGCCTACCAAGTAGGTGGGACTACAGGAATGCATAACTCCTATTTTTTTTTTTCTGTAGAGATGAGGTTTCGCTATGTTGCCTAGGCTGGTCTCAAACTCCTGGGCCCAAGCAGTCCTACGACCTTGGCCTCCCAAAGTGCTGGAATCACAGGTTTGAGCCATCATGGGTCTCTCAAGCCAACTTCTTGGATGGCCCGAAAGACTGGTCCAGTCGGGAGGACTGAAGTGTGAATCAAACCTCTTCTTCCATAGGCTGGAAGTGGAGGCAGAAAGGTCAATAAAGGCTTCCCTGAGAGGATAGCAGTTCTAGGCTCTAACTCACCTAGTGATGGCTGTGGGGAGGTCCTAAGGGGGGTTGTGATACGTGGAACCCTCTGCGAGAGGAGGTGAGGTTATCCAAAATGGGCCTTGGACCTACAGGGAGGCTGGGCTGGTTCTGGGACTCATTGGCAAACCTCGACTTTCTCCTAATCTAAGGTGAGAGCAGGCTGGGCATGGTGGCTCACACATGTTGTAATCCCAGTACTTTGAGAGGCAGAGGCAAGAGGATTGCCTGAGCCCAGGGGTTCAAGACCAGCCTGGGCAACTTGGCGAGACCTCATCTCTACAACAAATCAAAAAATTAGCTGGGCATGGTGGTATGCACCTGTAGTTCCAGCTACTTGGGAGACTGAGGAAGAAGGAGTCCAGCAAGTCGAGGCAGCAGTAGCTGTAAGCATGCCACTCCAGCTGGGCAACAGAGTGAGAATTCAACAACAACAATAATGATGTGGGAGTAGTGGGCAGAGGGCCAGATCCCAGTCCAGGGGAACACACACAATCCAGGGGCCCTAGGGATCCGGCCACCTGAGGTCACCATGCCTTTCATGACACCTGCTGTCTTAACTTTGTGCACACCCAGGCAGGCAGTGGCAGATGAGGCCAACAACATGTCACAGCCCACAGAGTTACAAAGAATCAACTTTATTGAACATTCAGGGCTAATTTCTCTTCTTGCCTTTGCCCGTGACCTTGGCTGGTATGAGGACTGGAGCTGTTGCCTGGTACATGGTGGAGGAGATCTTGTTGATGTAGTACAGACCAACCATGGAGAAGATGAAGCTACAGGGTGAAGACAGAAAGGTCATGGCATCAGCTGGCATGCTGCCAGCCTGGTGCCTCCCAGGGCAGACACTAGCATCAAAGATTTCAAGCTCAGGTTCAGAAAAATCGGGAAAGGCAAAGGAGGAAAAACAGAGAGGTAAGTGTAGGGTGGAAAGCCTGGCACTATTCCAATAGGATCCAACGCCAAAGTACAGGGCACTGCACCCCTTACCCAGCTGTCAGACACATACCATGTGGTGACACAGACTCGGTGGATGAGGCCAGATGCAAAGAGGGCCAGCAGGAGGCAGAGGAGAACTGGGGAGGCAAGAAGACACAGGGCAGGTGGTGGTCAGAACACAAAATCTCAGGCACTCATGTGAAGTTTGGGAGAAATCTGGGGCTCTTTAAATCTTGGGGAGCCTGCGTGGAGGGTATGCACAAAAACAGTAGGACTTCCAATGGCCTTAATAATGCCCAGGACATGGAAGTAGCAGATGCAGGCTTCTCACCAGCTCTGCCCCATGGCCCTCGTAACCTCCCTATCCTGGCTTTCCTCCCATCACAAGGAAAAGGAAAGGTGACAGGCAGCAGAGCCTGAAGGGCAAGACGTGCTCCCACCTGGTGTGCAGGGCCCAGGCCTTTCCAACAGAAGGCAGCCAACGAAAACCACTTAAGCTGGCTGACCAGCAGTAGAAGCTGAGGGCCTTGCTACCTGAACGCAGGCTGGAAGCCAGAATGTCTGGATATCCTTGTCCATGGGGACAGGAAAGGATCTTGGGACATGTGGGGACAGGATGGGAGAGAAGGTAGAAGGACAGAAAGCAAGGGTAACTATGACCTTACCTGCCTGGGAGGGGAGGGCAGGGAAGGCAAAGTGGGCCAAGAACTCTGTCCCACAATAATGGTTTTTTTCAGAAGCAATTAAGCCATATACATGGAAACAAAATCTAATAGAAGGCCCGAGGCTGCTGAGTGGAAGGTGCTCTGGCAGCTTGTAAGGGATGGGCAGGGAGAACAAGACCCAGAGGGGGGCAAAGACACGAGGACAACAGTGACAGATCTTATACCACATGAAGGTTTTACCGAAGACTGCATCTGCTATGGATTTTTGAGCATGTGGCATTCTTCAGGTGATCTGGCCTTGATGCCTAATTTGCTTTATGAACTTAATTCCCCATAAATAACTAAGTCATCAGTTCTTGATTACATGACTGATTTAGCAGGAACATTTTCCAAATGGAAAATATCTAGCAGTTACTCTAATTTGGTCAGGATTCCTGCTGCCATAGAAATCTGGTATATCTACTATTAGGTTCTTTATAATCCACTCAAATAGACAGAACTCACTAATATTGGATCAATTTCACACTGGAACCCCATCAGAACTTGGTCCTGTTTCTTCTGCTGGGAGGGACAAAGAACACCTCCCCAGAAACAGATGCAAAGCATCACTCAAACTTCCCTGTTCCCCTCAAAACTTCCCTGGGAGCTAGCCAGAAGGTACCAAGGTTTCATGCTTTCCCAGGCCTTCTCCAATTCCAGGCGTCATCTGTCTCCAGACAGTTTTAGCAAACATATTTCCCATTTCCTTCACCATCTAAGCACCTGGAAATTTGGCAGCAGGTGCGGGGATGTCAGAGAGGACAGGGTTCAGATACTCAACTCCAATTTTCACTTACTCTCAGGGAAGATCTTTGCTTGGAATCCTTTGCCAAAGACAAGATTCTCCAGATTATTGAAGGCCTGGGTTGAGGGAGTTAAGGAGCAAGGCGTGCAACGGGGGCAGAGCTGCGTGGAGCAGGGCAAGGGCACCAGCCTACGTGGCCCTCCGCCCTCCCTACTCTCAATAACCTCCCCCTCCCGCCGCAGGGAGGATACAGTGAGAGAGAAGACGAAGAGGCCGGAGCCAAGCAGGCCCCCCTGGATGGTGAGCCACTCGGTGGAGGCCAGCTGGCGGCTGTACATCTGCATCCCAGCGAAGAGCAGCAGGGACAGGAGGGAGGACAGCGCCAGCGAGGTGCCCGTGCCCACCACTGCGGGGATGCAAGAGGGGAAGAGAGTCAGGCGCGGTCTTCCCTCCAGGAGCCGCAGGCAGATTCGGCGGATCCAGAACTCGGGGGTCCGACGGCTTCCGAGCACTCCCAGGGACGCACCACACTCCCAACTCCCCACACCCCGCGGCCACCCCGAGGTGCTCCCCGGCCCCGGACGCCCCGAGCCCTCCAGGTCCGTGAAATGCCCGTTCCCTGGAGCCCAGGACATGTCAACTCTGCCGGGAGGGGACCAGAAAAGTCTGCCTGCCCCAACCCTGAGCCCGACTAGCACGTTCCGGAGACCCCACAAGTCCAGATACCCATCATGCCCCGCCAGTGAGTCCAATCGGAGTCTCCGGCCAAGAAAGGAGAGCCGAACCGGGTGCAGTTAGCTGTGCGCATGCGTCGGCGCCGCACGCGGACTCGCCTTAGTCCACGTCTTCCTCTTGCTTGCTCTCGGCGCCTGGACTTAGCGCCCTCTTCCGACGGGGAGGAAATGGCATCGAGGAGCATCCACAGCCACCGCCCTGGTTCCCAGGCTTTCCCTGTGCCCTGTGCATCCGGGGCCACTCTGTACAAGCTGCACCTATCTCTTCAAGTCATTGGGCCCATGCCTATAGCCTCTAGCCTGCCTCTGTCTTTGCCATTTATGTCATCTTTAGTGCGTGTTCCTCAAATCTCCCTGCCCCATGATCATTGCCTTAACATCTCCCGTGGACTCTTGCCCAACCCAAAGGTAGTGCTCCCAACGCCCCTCTTCCTCGGCAACTAACCTCCCGCTTTATGAGTAAGAGTAGGAACCAATGAAAAAATGCAAATATGAGAAGTGGCTCCCCCCTCAAATACACTTTCATGCTACCCAACCCCCCGACCGGCTTTCCAGAACCACGTGGGGAGAACTATTTCCCACCCCCTACCCCGACGGGCGCTGTTCGAGGCTGGTCCCTGGAGCATGCGCAGTGCCATCTCACCCCCACCCCCTCCCCACACCCCCACTGAGCTCCTGCATTAAGCCCGGGGTTCGCAGCCGCAGCCGGGATCAAGCACCCGGGGGCGGGCGGGCACGGTAGGGCCATGGCTGAGGGTGAGGATATGCAGACCTTCACTTCCATCATGGATGCACTGGTCCGCATCAGTGTGAGTTAAGGTGGGGTCGAGGGGACGGGGAGGGGGCTCATAGGGGTCCGGGGCAAGCCGGGACCTTGAACAGGTGGGGATCCAGAAAGATGCTGGGATGTGGACAGGGGGCTGGTGATGCCAGAAACGACTGGGAGGATCGGGATGCAGGTTTGAGAGGGTAATCCCGGGAGCAGCCCGGAGGTGAGCGTCGATGTGCTGGGCGGTGAGGAGCTGGGAGCAACCCGGACGCAGCGGGTGGTCTGGGGATGCCGCCAGCAGTGCACCAGGGCTGGGTCTTCTGGGGAAAGGCGCTATGTTACGAGGAGGGGGATGTGTGAGCTTGGATATTTTCCAAGAAAACTGAGGACAGGTGGGGGATGATGAAGGAGCCGCTCCAGGATGCTGTTCCCAATTTGGACCCCTCCCCGAGACCCCACCCCACCGCACCCCCACTCAGGGCTGTCTCCGAGCCTGCGGTTGTCATGGCAACCCGTGCCCGGCTCTCCCAGGGGCGGTGCCAACCCTGCTCCCCCCCACCACTTCCTTCCCCCTCCCTCCCTGTCCCTCCCTCCTTTGTGTCAGCTGCGCCCCTGACCGGGATGGCTGCGAAGAGAGGGACCAAGGTGAGGTGTGGGGGTGGGGCATAGCCTGAGGACCCCCACCCCCGCCACCAAAGGGGGAGGGGTACTTCCGGTGGGGAGGGGGGCGAGTAGGCGGGGCTCTTGTTTTCCCCCTAGCTTGAGGAGGGGGTTGTCACTGGCTGGGTTGCGCCGCGGGAGAGGGCGGGAGGGCCTGATGGTGGGGGGCAAAAGAGAATGGGTTGGTATGAAGGATTGGAGCAGACAGAAGTGAAGGATGAGGAATGGAGGTTGGGGCCGCCGCAGGCCGTAGCCGCGGCGGAGGATGGATGGAGCCGGCGGGAGGATGGCGAGCCAGCGGCGCCTGGCTATCGAGAGGAGTCACGGCGTGGGGGGAGGGGATGCTAGAGGAGGAATGGGGGGTTCTTCACAGAACTGCAGATTGGGCTGCGTTCTCGAAAAAAATACCAGGGGCTGGCGGCCCAGAGACGGTGGGGGGGGGGGCGACAGGTGAGAGGGGGATGACCAGCTGGGAGTAATGGGTATTGGGCTTGAGGCCATAAGTTCCAACCATCCCTCTTCTGGGTCTTTAGCTCTGCAGGAAGGAAACCTTCCAGGGTCAGAGGGCTGGAAAGGTCTATGAGCCAGACCAAGGCAGGTGCTGGGGAAAAGCAGTAGGTAGCTTGTCGTGCCCCTTCCTAAGACCACTGGGGTCTCTAAGGGCAGCCGAGGGGCCTGCTGAGATATGCCTAGATGTCTAAGCTCTGACCTAGCCTCCTGGTCCCTCCACAGACGAGCATGAAGAACATGGAGAAGGAACTGCTGTGCCCGGTGTGTCAAGAGATGTACAAGCAGCCACTGGTGCTGCCCTGTACCCACAACGTGTGCCAGGCCTGTGCCCGGGAGGTTTTGGGCCAGCAGGGCTACATAGGCCATGGAGGGGACCCCAGCTCCGAGCCCACCTCTCCTGCTTCCACCCCTTCCACTCGCAGCCCGCGCCTTTCCCGAAGAACTCTCCCCAAGCCAGACCGCTTGGACCGGCTGCTTAAGTCAGGTGGGGCTGGGGCCTGCGGGGAGGAGGTGGGCTTGCTGAGCCATTCATCAGGAAGCTGGAAGGGATCCCTCACAGGGTCAGGGGCATCTCTCTGTCTTTCGGGGGCCAGAGATACTGCTCCTCCAGGCTCCTGTGAGAGCTGAGCTCTCACACCATAAGAATCTAATTTTTCAATTGAACAGACTTTTGCCATCTCCAGCCAGCTGTAACTCTCACCTCCTCTACCTCCCTGGTTCATCCACAGGCTTTGGGACGTACCCGGGGCGAAAGCGAGGTGCTTTGCATCCCCAGGTGATCATGTTCCCGTGCCCAGCTTGCCAGGGTGATGTGGAGCTGGGGGAGCGGGGCCTGGCCGGGCTTTTCCGGAACCTCACCCTGGAGCGTGTGGTGGAGCGGTACCGCCAGAGTGTGAGTGTGGGAGGCGCCATCCTGTGCCAGTTGTGCAAGCCCCCACCACTAGAGGCCACCAAGGGCTGCACAGAGTGCCGCGCCACCTTCTGCAATGAGTGCTTCAAGCTCTTCCACCCTTGGGGCACCCAGAAGGCCCAGCATGAGCCCACCCTGCCCACCCTCTCCTTCCGCCCCAAGGTGAGCTAGCCCTTACAAGGCCTGGGAAGGGAGGGACATGGTGGTGCTAAGCAGTTGGGGACACTGGGCATTGTGGGTTTCCAACAGGAGGGGGGCAGGGGTTTACCTCGGCTAAGCACCTTTCTCTGTTACAAAGTCCCTGGACAAATCAACATCTTTGGGCCTCCATCTCATCTGCATGGAGGAGGTAGTGTCTGCCCTGCAGTATCCATACCTGCAGGGTTGTTGAGAGGATCACACGAGATGATGTTTGCGCACTAAAAAGCGTTATCTGTACACTAAACAAGGTGTGTGTGCATTCATACATTGAACAAATATTTATTGAGCGCCTATGTGTGTGGTGCTATTCTAGGCGTTGGGGATACAGCAGTAAACAAGATAGACAAGGTTAATTACTAACCATAGGCTGAGATGCATTATCGTTGTTATTATTGTTATTACCACACGTTCTAGTGAGATAGCTGAAGAGAGGCGCAGTGCTGGTGAAATGGGCAGTGCCTGGCGCCCACAGGAAAGGATCTCTTTGATGCCAGTGTGTGCCACCAGGTGGCACTATGGAGCACCACCAGCTGGTCTCTCCACTCCCGTCCAGCCGGTGGAGGGTGGGCACCAAGCTCAAGCTGCTCTAGTGGTAGGTTGGCACCTTACACATGCCATTGGCTGACTGTCTCATTACTCTTTGTGCCCTTAGGGCCTTATGTGCCCAGACCACAAGGAAGAGGTGACCCACTACTGCAAGACTTGCCAACGGCTGGTGTGCCAACTCTGCCGGGTGCGGCGCACCCACAGTGGGCACAAAATCACTCCAGTGCTCAATGCCTACCAGGCCCTCAAGGTGAGGACCCCTCCTCATTCAATCGGAGTGCTAACTCATGCTCTTACCCTCTTGTACCTCCTCCTAACTGCTGGCATCTGCCGAGCCAGGCGTGACGCCCACCTCTTTCTTCCCCCTCAGGACAAGCTGACAAAGAGCCTGACATACATCCTGGGAAACCAGGACACGGTACAGACCCAGATCTGTGAGCTGGAGGAGACTGTGAGGCACACCGAGGTGAGGGAGGGCATGGAGGTGGGCCCTGGGCCCTGCCTGGGAGTGGAGACAGGAAAGGGATGTGGGTGGGCATGGCTCAGTCACCTCTTGGAGCTCAGGAAGCCCTGAGGCGTCGAGGTTCTGGTTAAACCAGGTTGGCAGGGGCATCGGTGCCCCAGGCCAAGCTGTACCTGGGGCTGCAGTGGGGGTGGAATGAGGATGGCTCAGGACAGAGAGAGTTGGAAAAGCCCCGCTGTGTAGCTCTGTTGCCTGCTGAGAACAGCACATATCCCTGAGGCTAGGGCGAGGTGATGGCTCTGAGGTGGCCAACAAAGTGACAGACAAATAAGGATGGCATAGGTGCCAGTAGGCGTTAGTTCACACAGGCCAAGCGGACATTAGTGCAACCGTGGCCTCTGTTCTTTGGGTGAGTCCTTAAGGGGTCGGGATTATGATGTGGGCATCCTGGAGGGTTAGCACCAATGATCAGGAGAGGAGCCCACCTTGGGGCAGAGGTGCCACTGAGTCATGAGCCTGGCCTTATTGGAATGGGTGAATAGGATTTCCCCAGAGGCCCTGTGATCCCAGCCATGCTATGGTGTCCCAGGAGGCTGGCACAGTGCTGCCTCCAAGAGGAAGGTAATAAGTCATGCATCCTTTGGGTGTTACTCCCCGGGCAGGTGAGTGGTCAGCAGGCCAAGGAGGAGGTGTCACAGCTGGTGCGGGGACTGGGGGCAGTGCTGGAGGAGAAGCGGGCATCACTGCTCCAGGCCATTGAAGAATGCCAGCAGGAACGACTGGCCCGTCTCAGCGCCCAGATCCAGGAGCATCGGAGCCTGCTGGATGGCTCGGGTCTGGTGGGCTATGCCCAGGAAGTACTTAAGGAAACAGATCAGCCTTGC